TCTGACTCCCTGCCAGCTCCCAGATCAGCTTCTCTCATTGGATGATGTGGCGCGTCCAGCAGCTGCTGCTTCTTAAGTGCGTCATGAGCGTCAGATAATCAGAAACTCATGAGGCTACTGCTTAAAATGTGCTGCAGGACATTATGCTGCACCTTTATGCACATTAACATTTGACTTTGCATGTAAACCAGCTGCTTCTGCTGACTCTGCTGCTTTAGATGTGAACATTAGACTTTAGCTCTACTGCTGGTCATGGCTGAGGCAAAGAAGAAGTTTAAACCTCCTGAGACTAAAAAGAGAAAACGTCAAGAAAGATCGACAATAAAACAAGAGTAGATCTTGGAAAGGAGTTTATTCGCTGGTGCAGGCTGAAAGAAGAAGCCGGATGTAAAACTGATTCTCTTTTCTCAACTTTTTTATTAGTAAGATAAAAATTTGCTCCTAGTATACAGTCCTATATCTTTGTTATTTTTGATTTTTAGTAGAAGCAAACTAAAGGTAAAGAAAGCTAGCAAGCTGTGGCTGTTCACTAGAGCTCAGCTGATAGTCCTCCATTAAAAGACTGTTCCTCAGGTCAGCAGATCCGCAGGTACCGAGGTTTAACAGGAAGCTCAGAGGGGCCAGAGCCGTCTTCATCGCTGCTCCGCGTTTATGGAATAGCCTCCATTAGGGAGGCTCCTCCCCTGCTGAATTGTTTCTAAGATTTCTTCTCAAGACTTACTTTTATTAAACAAATATATATTATTGCCTTATGTTATATTTTTATGCTGCATTTTATTCTTTTTTTCTTTTTACACGCTGTGCCTTTCAGTACTTAACCACTTAGGACCTAATATTCAAGCAGACAGAACAAGGTGATTTCAAAACAAGCATTTATTAAATCACAAATGTGCAATTACTCATCAGCTGGGTACGGATTCACTGGATACTCTATAGAGATAGAAAGTCAGGTTAGTGACTTTGAATCTAAGACGGGCCTCGACTGTGAGCATTAGTCACTAACCTGGTTCTGAGTTCAGCCCGATCCCGGAGGAAGGAGTCGAATCACCGGAGATTTCTCCACAGCTTGAGGCGGGAGCCGCCCACAGAGTTCTGACACCTCAAAACTTTGAAATCTCCAAAGCAGAAACGGGTCAGGATCAAAAAATCAGAATGATATAGAATCACTAGAGTTAGTCTCACAAACAGCTGGAATAATCTGGCTCAGATGGCAGGCAAACAGGCAGCATAAGTAGCAGCAGGAACCAGGTGGATAAGATGGACGGTAATGAACAACCGGGCCAATTGGACAGTTGGAAAGAGTAAACCATTAAACCAGCCATCCGCACCCAGACTGTGACATTCTCAGTTGATGGTGCGTTCACACCAAACACATTTTGAGCATCAGGACGTCTCGTTTACTTGCAAAGTCTATGGGAGACGGTGCCAAGGAGCGGCGAGAGCAACACTATTTGAATGCAGGGTTTTGCAAAACCCAAAACATCAAGAGCGTCAGGGACAAAAGTCCTGAACCGCTTTTTGACACACAAAACAAGTTTAGTGTGAACGCACCATGGGAAGTATTGAGGTACTAAAACACGCTACTGTTTGATCAGTGGAACAGGTAACTGCTAATACCAACATAATGTGGTTGGTAACTGTAGAAGCACTAAATAAATACATGCCAACGTATTTACTATAAGTGATTAATCTCATTCACATAGTTTATTACAATAATTTAAATAAAGGCATGATTAATACATGAGTAGTAATGAATTTCTAAACATTGCATGAGAAATAATAAATAATTGATAAGGGACTCTGAACACAAACCCGTCTTTTAAAGGTCTAGTGTTTGACTGGAGCTCATGCCACTAATATTCTAACAGAGGCTTCATTTTTAGTTTGTCTGAAACTAGAAGGTCTGAACATCGATCCATTAAGTGCATCTGTTCTCGTCCAGTTCTTTGATTCTAACAGCTCTGATTGGAGCCAAAAGTTTTCCTCTTTTTAAATGTTCTTGGCTAGTCTCTTTAAAACTTTTCCTCAGATTTAAGATGAGTAATTAAAGCTCCCAATAAAATAGAACAAAATAAAAATACTGTTTATTGTCCCATTGTGGGGAAATGTGAGTCAGTGGGACAGAGAACAACCAATCAAAGCATGCAGGGAAGTCCCCGAAACATAAATATATACAAAAAGGAGAAAAGATGGACTGTAATTGAAAAGCAAAGGAAAAATAATCACAGAAATTAATGAAAAACTGCATTAAGTTTCAGAGAAAGCGCAACAATGATGATACATGAAATCTGAACGGCACTCGTTTAAAAAGGTTTTCTTTTTAAAGTCCTGTCACCGCTCCCCTTTTGAAAGCATACCTGTAAAACAAAAATATAAATCAATTCAACTGTATAGTTTCATTTAGGTTTTAAAAAAAGAATATCAGACACGTCAGAAGAAGGTATTTTAATATATTTGCCTTCATTACAGGTCAGTTTGACGATTAAGTAAAATTTTCCGATTATTGGTTCATAAAGGATTGCTCATATTGACGAGACTGATAAGAGTTGAAATAATTGATCTCAATATAATTAGTTTTATAGCATATTATCATTTTATACAGTGTAGTAGTATCAAACAGTTGTATTGTGACAGACTGGAAATAAAGACATAAAGAGTCAAACCTCTTTTCTAAAAGTTTTGGTTCCAGTGATTCAACATTTTTCTGCAAAGAATTGAAGCTTAAGATTTGTTAAAAAGGCAAAGTGAAGCCAAAATGTTCTTAAAGGCTAGAAATACATCTTCATTCATCCAAATAATGACATTTAGCTGTTTTAATTACTTCCATGACCAAAGGTGTATAAATCCAGCATCATGCAAACTGCTTCTGCAAACATTTATGAGGGAATAGGTTGTTCTCCAGAGAGAAAGGAGCTCCGCCACCTGCAGAATAAATCCAGTCCAAACGTTTACTTGTTGTTAGAATTTCCACCTTCAAGAGTCGCTATTATAAGAAAGTGGAAACAAATCTGAATGATAGTCAGTCAGCCTAGAAGTAAAAGTCATCTCAGAGCTGTGGGTCATGGGATGCACCATAGGTGCCAGTGGAAAAACTCTCATTTTGGTCAACTGTGAAGCTCCTACAGTAACTTTGTGAGCATCGTTTAGGTTTGGCCCAGAGAACAGAACAAGGTCCACAGAGACCTGGATGAAGTTTTCCATGGTTGCAACCCAACACTGCTGCACCACTAGGAAGGGAATTATCTTTACAAATGTACCACTAATGGAAATAAACCTTTACTGCTAAAAAAAAGGGCGAACACCCTTACTCCTCAGGTCACTGTGTAAATGAGAGCTTTCATTACTTTTGTTGTGGAGAAAAGTCTTGACAGACAGAGGAAAAATATAATGAATGATGAGCAGGAAGCCTGATCAACAGCACAACAATAATAAACATATAGTTAAGAGTTTATTGTGACGTAGACCTCAGATAGCAATGAGTCTATCCAGATACTGCAGACACTGAAATTCATCCTTTCCATCTTAACATGAAACCAAATGGCTGCATCTGCTTTTTAAGCTGAGAAACAACTTTAAACAACTTAGTTTAAGGTTTGAATGACTTAACAGGAACATCTTGACACCCTTCTAAAACTGTTTCCTTTTTATTAAATGGCAATCATCACCAAAAGAACTACTGGAATAGCTGGAATAGGTATTGTGCTAACGCTTTAAAAATAATATTTACTGCTGTCCAAGCAGTTGTTTGCAGTGTTGATATTGCAGAGAATAAGAGGATATGTGAGATATACCAAGCTTAAGATAAGGAGACGCCTGTAAATTATCATTTCAAAGCAGAGTGGATGATTTGTTTTGTTGAAAACCTAAAAATGGAAAGTTTAAAATTTACTTTTGGATGAGTCTGCTGTAAAGACATTTTTATTCTTTATTTCTTTATAGTTCACTTTTGTTTGACTTTAATTGGTTGTCACTATTCAGGCCTTTTATTTTTTTAAGGAAAAGTCCGGCCAGCAAGAAATAATCAATGGATCATTATTTATACCTAAAACTAATATGTTTGCAGTAATTCAATGAATTTAGTGTTAATCAGTAAAAAAATAAAAACAATATAATATTCATGATCACTGAGTCTGGGAGCGGCCATTTTTGCCCAAATCTAGTAGCCCCTCCCTCCTGCCATCTTCCAGCAGTGACGTCACGGTGCGGTAAGCCTAGCGCCATTCTCCCCGCTTTCCAAGCTAAATCAATGGGAACTACTAGACACATCTGCAATCAACAACAATTATTGAAGATTTTTGAATAAATTGGGTAAAAGTGACAAAAATATGCCAGTGGCAAATTTATTAATCCTGGTGTTCTCTGGTAAATACCAAGCATCCTTATAGATTTGGTTTCTCCCAGTTTGAGCAGACAGATGCAAATCTGTGGCCTGCTGGAGGTAATTCTGCAGGGCTCTGGCAGTGCTCCTCCTGATGCTCCTTCACAAAGGTGGAGGTAGTGGTCCTGCTGCTGGGTTGTTGCCCTCCTATGGGCTCCTGCATGGCTGCTGGTCTACTGGCCTGTCCTCTGGTTACGTCTCCAGCCTCTTTACACAATGTTAAAATGAAGGGGACAGTTTTCCATCTGTTGCTTTTTATATAAAGGCTGGGAGAGAAGTAAGTGTAT